CAGGGGTCTGCTCCTCTATCTGTATCCTTGCCTTACCACAGCCGCAGGAGTGGGAAAAACGCTGCTCAGGGGAGGGGGCCCCCATCGGGACCCTGGGCAAGCCACACCTCCTCTCTGGGACTCAGTTTTATCATCTGTAAATAGTACCTACTGCGGTGGGGTGTTGTGGGCAATGAGTGAGCGATGACACCGATGTGCCCGCACTCCCTGCTCAGCTCTGGTCCTTCACCTTCACTTCAAGTCCATGAATATACCCCAGTGATTCCCATGCCAAGACACCCATTTTAGGTGCTGTCCTGATCCCCCTCCAAAAATAGCATCCACTGAGAACTACGGAACTCATTCTTCTCTTTTTCTTTCCCTCCCCTCCCCTCCCCTCCCTTACCCTCCCCTCCCATCCCTTTCCCTTCCTTCCCCTCCCCTTCCTTTCCTTTCCTTCCCTCTCTCCATGACCATTTATGCCTTATCTTCTCTGTTACACAATAGAGTCTGTGAGGACAGCTCACAGTTTGACCCAATCTTGCATCCCTAACACCCGGCATTGGGGGTGCTGGCTAGGAACGGGACGGGGTGCCTGCAGAAACAGGCTGCAGCCCTTGCAGTGAGTTTGCAGCTGCCCCTCTGGCCTCCTTGGCTAATCCCCTAAAGGCCATGCTAGCCCAGAACCAGGCCCAGAAGGTCCCCCAGGCAGGGTTGTGCAGGCCCAGCTGTGCTGGGGGCTGCGCTCTGCCCTGAACCCGGGGGAAGAGCTTCCTGTGTGGTGGGTGCTAAGGCTGTGGCAGGTGACTGGTCCTGGGGCGTCCTTTTGTCACTCCTCCCTCTCCTCTTGCAGGGCAGGGCCCAGCGGCTGGGGGAACAGTTGTGAGCACTAGACAAAAAGCCTGGGACAAAAGGCCTGTGGGAGCCGCAGTGAATAGATTAATGAGATTTCCATATGAGGGCCAACAATGGGATTCTCCACTCCAGCCCCTTTGTTCCTGGCTGAGATAATGGAGCCCTGGGGAGCATGCCCAAGAGGGGGCTGCAGCAGCCCCTGCTCCTCACAGGCCTGGAGCCGCTGGGCAGCTGCCCCTCCTTCCCTGCCCCGCCCCCAGCCCTGCTCGGTCCAATCCCCTCCCTCCCGGTGGGTAATGGAATTCTGAATCATAGAATTCTGTACGCTGGGGAAGGGGGTTAGGAGGCAAAGGCCTCCTCAGAGAGTTGGAGGGGTGTTGACACTGCGTGATCAAGTATAAAGTTTACTTTAAAAGGTTCCTAGTGAGAGAGAAGTTTGCAGTCCACCATCCACACCAGCTGTCTCACTTGACAACTGAAGAAAGTGAAGTGGATAGAGGTTAGGTGTCTTGCCCATGGCCACACAGTGACAGCTCAGGGTGTCTGCTGCCCTGGGGTGTCAGAGTGAGCGTGGAGGAGGCGTGTGTGAGAGAAAAACAATCTCTTGATGCTCACACGACACCGCTTCACTTCTGACACCACCCAGCCAATTCTGCAACACCGGCTGGGTGTCCTACAGATTTAGCTAAATTCTGACACTGTTTACCTGGAGATAGCATCAGATCCCACAGGCTCAGGGCTCAATCCCACGAGACGGCCGCAGTGCAGAGGGTAATCACAAGTTGGGGTTGTCACCTGTGCTTCTGACCCAGGGACTATACATCAGAGATTCCCACGCCCCACTCTTTGGGTTCCGTTAATTTGCTAGAGTGGCTCACAGAGCTCAGGAAACCAGTTTACTTACTAGATTACCAGGTTGTTATAAAAGACTGTAATGCAGGGACAGCCAGATGGAAGAAGTGCACAGGGCGGGCACGTGGGAAGGACTGCAGTGCGTCCGTCCTCTCCCAGGGCACCACCTCCCAGCACCTCTGCATGGCCCCCAACCCAGAACCTCTCTGAACCCCAGCCCTCGTATGTTTGTGGAGGCTTCATTATGTGGGCATGATCTAGGCATGATCGACTAAATCACTGGCCACTGGCAATTGAGCTGGATCTCGAGGTCCATGGGGCGGAAGTCGGTGCACTGAGTGTTCTGGCCGTTTGTGACGCTGAATTGCTTCTCATTGATCCCGGAAGACTTCCTAAAAACGAGGGGTGAGGGTGTGAGGAGCTTTTCACTTCCTCCTCCATCTAGTAGTTCCTTCCATTACTATCTACTGCTCGCCTGCGTTTGAAGGTTGGCACTCCGTGGGTGGAGTCGAGTGGATCAGCCTCATCTGTGTGGAAGGGCACGATGCCTTCAAGGGCCTGCAGAGAAAGAGCTGCTTCAGAGCCCGGCCTTGCTCCCCAAAGGGTGCAGTTTCAGAAAGTTACCTTTCCTCCAAGAGTCCAGCCACCACCAGGGAAGTCCCAGGCCCAGATGAGGAACTGTCTGCCCAGCCCAGGGGGGTGAATACCTATCAGAGGGCAAGTCTGCAGGGAAAGGGACAGCTCTACTGGGCTGTCCATGAGAGGACACAAATTACTGAGTGACTCTGAACATGTCCCTTCCCCCTGGGGTTGAGGTGACTGGATGAGAGGACACAAATGCTCCTGCCTGAGGGGCACAGGCCACACTCCCAGGCAAATACAGACACATGTTTCCATAGGGCCAAGGAAAAGATGAAGGTCAGGTAATGTCCTCAGGCTCTTCCCGGGCTGTGAGTACCCGAGGGCTGGACAAGGGAGTTGGTGCAGCCAAGAGATAGGGCCTGGGCTCCTGGTCAGACTGTTGCCGTCAGAATCCTGCTCTGTTATGTGATAGCTGTATGAGCTTGAGGCTGTATTAATCTCTCAGTCTCCCCACCTGTAAAATGGGAATGATGACAATGGCATTGATTCCATAAGCCTGTTGTGAGGGCTACACAAGATAGAACAGGGGCTGGCCCTGCCCCCAGTGCGGGGTGCTGGGAAATGGCATGAGGACTGTTCTAACATATCAGCTGGGATGAAACCCCCTCACAGAACATTCTCCCAGTCACCTCAACCCCAGGGGGAAGGGACATGTTCAGAGTCACTCAGTAAGGATGGGCCACTGCTCCGGTTCTTAATTGTACCATTTATCACACTACTTTGTACCCCATACTGGACTGAGTACGTTACATACATTATTTTTTTTCAATCCTCAAGACCGCTCTGCAAGGCATATGTGATGCCCTTTAACAGATGGAGAAATTGAGCTTCCGTGAGGTCAGGCAACCTGACTAGGATCGTAGAATAAGTGAGTCTGGATTTAGATCCAGGCCTCCCTGATTCAAAGCTCACACTTTCCCCCAAGTCCCTGGTGATGTAGGGGACTGGAGTCTGTGAACCCCGAAGGGAGGCAGGGTCTCCTGGGAGATCCCTCATGTAGGAGGCTGCATGGGAGGGGCTTGTGAGTTAGGTCACAGGTAGGCCCAGAGTCCCAGTGTAAGAGCAAGAGGACTGTAACTGGCCTGGGTGTGGCCGGTGTGGGGCAGGGAGACAGCATGCTCTATCCTACCCTCTCTGGATTGGCAGGCGGGAAGCAGGCTGGGGGGTTGGGGAGGGGGCTGGTTGTGTCAGAAAGCACCCAGCTGAGTTTGCATTTAAAGCCCCAGAGAGGCCGAAACCGGTTTGGCTCAGTGGATTGAGTGTAGCCTGCGGACTGAGAGGTCCCGGGTTCGATTCCGGTCGGGGGCATGTGCCTTGGTTGCAGGCACATCCCCAGTGGGGAGTGTGCAGGAGGCAGCTGGTCGATGTTTCTCTCTCATCGATGTTTCTGGCTCTCTATCTCTCTCCTTTCCTCTCTGTAAAAACTCAATAAAATATATTAAAAAAAAAAAAGCCCCAGAGAGATGAGACAGAGTGTATGTGTAAGTGACAGGCACAGACATGCACATGCGCCTGCAGCTGTGCACCCCTCTGCACAGCATGGGTGGTGTAGGCGTGAATGCTGGTGTGTGCCAGGCTCATGCCGGCCAGCATGCTCAACCCAGGTGCAGGATGGCAGTCTCACCTCCTCAAACTTCTGTCTTCTCCGCTTCCTTGGGCAGTGGTATTCTGGCCAGACCTTTGTTCTTCCCTTGGAAGAGGTGAGAGGAAGTCTTGAGATCAAACGCTTTGTGACTAAGTTTAGAAGTTGCTGACCTGGCCCTCTGCTCCCCAGTCAAACCATTCAAGGATCTTTAACAGAGGCCAGATCATTGCATTTAGACAACGACCTGAAAGGATCTTGAAAGAAGGGGAAGAAAGATGGGCTGGTGGCAAGTGGAGACTTAGGGTCCAGGAGGTCTTTGTGAGGACAGGAAACAATTATGCTTGCTGTGGGGAGGGAGCCAGGACACAGTAGCGGGAAAGGATAGTTAATTAATGAGGCAAGATCCCAGCTGAACCAAGATGGGATCAAGGGCTGGGCTGGATGGACCCTCAGGCTTCCTGCCTGCGGATGTAGACATAGATAAAGGTGCAAACAGAAAGCCAAAGTGGTTAAAATGGAAGAGAATTACCCAGAGTGGAAGGCCAGCACCTGGAGGGGTTGAGGGTAGAGATCAAGTGGGCTGGATGAGCTGCCAGGGACAAGGGCTCCTCTGGGTAGGGCAAGGAGCAGCTTGAGAGGGGCTAATCCTGGAATAGATGAGATAGAGTGGGGGTGGCGCTGGGACAGGTGTGGAGAGCCACGGGTGGATTCCTGGAGTCCACAACTGCTGGGCGGAGTGGTTCAGTGATGGCCAAGGCTGAGTGCTTGGCCTTGAGGGTGGGGACTTGAGTGAAGAGGAGCAGAGGGGCTGAAGGAAATGCCTGTGGAACAGCCCAGACACAGAGCCTTCCCTGCTGTGTCCATGGATGTCCTTCCCCATCATTCCCAGCTGAATGTGTTCAGGGAAAGTACTATCATCAAACTTCTTTTCTCCGTATGAAGGAGCCAAAACACAGATAACAATGAATAGAAAAAAAACAAAGCAGGTTTAAGGGTCCATGTGGTAATACAACACGGGGCGTCGCAAAAACAGGTTTACAGTTGTTTGTATAGAAAATACAATAATTAATAAATAATACAACAATAAACTGTGTTTCCAGTACTCACAACTGAAAACCCACTTTTGCCCCACCTGTATTTGCACTTGTGTAACTCTGATATTACGTCATATGACCCTGCAACCAGACCCTTGTGATTCCTGATGTCCCTGGAAATGACCCCCTCTGACACCTGCTAATGCCTCTGCTCTTTGAAGACCCTCAGTAGGACCCGCATACCTGCCCACAGACCTCGCACTCAGCTCTACTGCCTCTGCTCTGCTTCCTTGTCATTGGTGTTCAGGGTCAACTCTGAAGGCAAAACAACCTTAAAAACGTTCCCTTTTTAAGCTTTAGTATCAAAGGCTCATGCCCTCCCTAGGGCAGTGGGGATGAGGGTAAATAGTTTTGGATTCAAAGACTGTCCTCTCCCATTGATGTCAGGTCATAGCCTCTGGAGGTGGTGCTGTCAACAAACTACTGTAAGTACGGGCAACTGAAGAGAACCTGAGAAGCCACTTGCTTATCTTCAGCTCTTCTTCTACCACTCTCTCTGCATACACCTACTTCCAGGCCTCCGGTGACCCAACATTTCTTGGTACTCCTTCTAGGCTTGCAGTGTATGATTATGTAGGTTGTTCACTGCACATGAGCCCTATTTCTTTTTTGTTTTAATATATATATATTAAATTTAATATATATATAATTTTATTGTTGACAGTATTAGAGATATCCCCGAATAGCCCCCTCTGCCCACCCTCTACCCCCGCCTTAGGCCTTCACCACACTATTTAAAAAATATTTATTGTTGAAATTATTACATATGTCTCCCCTTTTCCCCCATTGACCCCTTCTAGCCCACCATCAGCCCCTGCCCCAGGCCTTCACCACCCTGTTGTCTGTGTCTATGGGTTATGCATATATGCATACGAGTTCTTTGGTTCATCTCTTCCCCCCTTTGG